ATTTAAAGATTAAGAAATTTAAATTTAAGAAATAAGAAAATAATTCCTGGCTTCGCGTCGCCATGATGGTTAGCTATATCTATTAATCCCGCCCCTGTGTCAATTCCCAATAGGGATTAACGAAGGTGAGGCCCATTTACAACGATTACCATTTACTTTAAGACAGAGTACTCTGGCGATCGTCATCGACACTAAAAAGGTTAAATAAAACCATTTAACGACTAATATTAAACGACTCGTGAGCCGTGTTCGATGTTTCCAAGCGACTGCTTGTCTGCAACAGGACGACACGTCAAAGAGCAGTTCGACGGCGAACGAGCTCGGCCTGGCGAACGTGGGCGGCGTGTTCGTGGTCCTGATGGGCGGCATGGGCATCGCCTGCGTGACCGCCGTCTGCGAGTTCGTCTGGAAGAGCAGGAAGGTCGCCATCGAGGAACGGGTGAGTGAGGTCAGATAGCACGTCGAAGAAGGCGTGATCGCGCCTGAAGTAACGTCGTCCAACACGCACCTCGATCCCGACGCCATCTACCCCGACATACCCCGCGAATACATCAGTTGATGTTCGCGAGACGGTGGAGTTCCTCTTTAATGGTCACGGTGCACCCATAAGACCACCCGGGTCTGATCGCCTTCTCGTTCTGATCAACGGAATCAAGTGTCTTTCTTCCTTCGAACAGATCGTACTTACATCAGTCGATCGCGACTCTAACAGGTGATGAATCGACGCGTCGAGGTATTAGTCGCCATTTTGTAAACGAAACAAACGCCAGACAAGCGAAAACGAATTTTTTATTCTTTCTTGTTTTGAGATAGCAATTATTCCCTGTAGATTCTCCTCGGTCTTCAATTCCCTCTCACCTTCGTCGTTCCTTTCGTTATTCCATATACGAGGGACGCTGCGTAACGAACGCTGCTATTTTTAGGTTAATTCGCCCGAATTTAAATATCAATATGAATCCGCAGATCCGAGTCAGCGATATTTTCGCACGAATTCTCGCCGGGAATAAACTCGCGGAAATGAACTGGGATGGATTAATTTTATTGTGACGACGTGGAAACAGCAAATAGAATTCCGCGCGATAACTAGATACGAAGAACTTAATTAGAGCGACGACGGGCCGTCGCGATATATCCTGCGATAAAAAAAAAA